CAGCATGACATAACCAACACAAAGGTATTAATCCCAGACACCCAAGTGAATAATAACATTAAATCTATCTCTCGAATTTAGATACTATTAGACAATCATCCTAGATAAGAATTTGAGCAGTATATGTCTATAACAATCCAAAATTCTAGCATAGAGCAAAAATCCAGGATAATAATCGACAGAGATTTGTAAAGTAAATTAAATATAACGCCATGCGCGATAACTATACATGAGTTCAAAGTAAATACATATATAAACTCAACAAATAAAGAATACACAAAGAAGCAGAGAAATGAACCACAAATCTCCTGGTTTGTCAGAGCCGATCGAAGAGTAATCCATCCTGAATCATCCGTATGCAAGCTCCAGGGTTGTTTTCTAAGCTAACCCTAAGAAAAAATGAGGGTTGATGAATCTGGGAGCTAAAACTATCCCCAAAACCATAACCCTAACAAATGAGATGAAAATATAAACAAAATATGCCCAGACACCATCGCCCGATGCTGGAAAGCACTGCCCAACATTGGGCTTTATTCCCTTGTCTCAGCTCGTGCCACGCACGAAACTGGCCACAAATATCTAGTGTCGCCCGAAGCTCCAAATCATCGCCTGAAGATGACCTTTACTCTCGCCTGACGACCAAGACGCGACACAAGACAGAAGCATCATGATTTCCTCACGTCTGCATCACCCATCGACATAGATGCGATGACCTGTCTCTCGACGCCCAACCGCATCGCCCGATGCTGCACACCAGAACATCAACTTTTGTTGCTTTCTCTGTATAACTTGCAATGCCTTTTCTTCTTTTTACCTTATTCCTTTATTGATCAAAATGCACATCTTGGAGCTCCATTTGGACTTTATTCTCAATGCTCCAATAATGCTTGAATACCTACAAGATGAATACAAAACTGTCAAATGATACACTATGTACCCGAAAACACACACACACACACACACACACACACACACACACACACACACACACACACACACACACACACACACACACACACACACACACACACACACACACACACACACACACACACACACACACACATATATATATATATATATATATATATATATATATATATATATATATATATATATATATATATATATATATATATATATATATATATATATATATATATATATATATATACACACACACACAAACTAAACGAATTTAAAGTGGGGGATTATTCACAAAATATTAACAAAAGCATTGATAAGTGCAACAAAAAATGTATACAAAAATAGCTACAATTTGCACTTATCAAACTCTCCCCAACATGAACTTGTTTGTCCTCAAACAAGGCTAAACAAACTTAAAAAGAAGCAAAAATGACTCAACCAAAGAATCATGAATCAACAAGTTTGAAAAACGAAAACAAATGTATGGTTCAAACAAAAATGCATACTCAAGGCAAATACTTACCATTATCCTACGATGACAACATGTCAACGAAACGAATCCTAAGTACGAAAATCATACAGAACATTCTAAAACAAAACAATCTTAATCATGAATCATGCATAGTAAAAATTCATCGGTAGATGAAGAACGCATAAAAATGAGGTACTTGACCCTCATCCACAATCTTGCAAACAATAGACTAAATTATGCATTCATCCAGAAATTCATATTGAAAATACAAAGGCAAGAATCACAAGATCTTTTCAAGGTTGTAATGTGGCTTGATTGACAAACAAAGGATACTTTCTAAAGCTAATCTTAACAAAAACTTGCCTAAACCTAAGGGAGTGATCATCTCACAAAAGTTCAAACACGAAATTTCCATCAACTTTCTTATTCATCCAAATTTGTCACACCAATCACAATACTTATTAACACAACATTATTCCATACTATTTTTATTTTTCTTTTTTAAAGCTTTTCAATTTCTTTCTTTCTTTTTCTTTTCTTTCTTTTTCTCTTTTTTTCCTCTCTTTTTCTCAACCGCATAACAATCACAACATAAGTGAGCAAACAATTTCTCTCCCCAACTTGAATTCAACCAACATTAATGTGAATACTTCCTTCTTTCTAAGGCAATGTAAAAATCCAAACCAAAAACAATGGTTGAGGATTCAAGAAAATAAATAATCAATGTCCATTCAAAAAAGAAAACTAAACACTCATAGACAAACATTAAGTTAAAAAATAACATGGACATTGACAAAAAGGCTCAAAGAGGTTAACAAATGCTCACACACTCACAAGGTGAATTGATAATTTGGTTAGGTAGTTATACTCAAAATGAAACAAAATGCCTTGATCACTTTCACGCTTTTATACAATCGACACAAACAAAAGATTAAACATAATAAAATCCAGTTAAAACAAGAATTGTGGCCTCCAACATATATGAATAATGGAAAGCTTCCTCACATTTGGGGGTAAAAAGGGAACTAAAGTGATTCAATTAAAAGCAAGTAATTCAAAAAGAATGAATGGTATGGTAATTATACAAATGAAAGGTTTCCTAAACATGTTATGCTATAGAAAGCGATAAACGAGTATCTGACGTGTACCAACTTCAAAAACTATCATTACCATACATTCACAAGTTGAAACACTAAAATTCGGATAATCACCAAAAGCGACCTCAAGCTATTGAACCAAAATTAGAGTCCAAACAACAACAAAAGAATTAACACAACTAAACAACCAGGTGAAATTGAATAAACAAGTTGAAAAGTGAAGATTTGAGAATTTTAAAACTGATCCAATTTTAACTTGTTTAAACAGAGATCACCACACTACCTAAAATAAAATATTGAAAAATAATAAAACATGCTTGTTTTTTGTCATAAGCTCGATGCCTATTATTTAAGAATGTTTATCCAAGTTGCTTCCACCCGACTATTCCTAACCAACACACAAGCAAACGTGAAAGGAAACAAACAATGATATAACAAATTCATAAGTATAAAAAACATGTACAAGTGTGGTAAACATATATAAGTATCAATATAAACAAGTGAAAATAGACAATATATACGATATCTATAAAACTAAAAAACAAAAAACTATCGCGATGCGATTCAATAAAAACATCATGATTTCCTTTATACGATGCCATTTTACTGAAGCGGTAAAGCGACAAGAAAAAAGTAAGTATTAATTACCGGGTGATATTTAGGTTATATCGTATCGTCTCCATAAGGATTAGTGCTAATGAATTGTCGTTCGACAAATCTCCCACGTTTATGAGTTTGGTTTGAATGAGTTGTTTGTAAGGAAAGGTAAAATGTATTAACAGAAAAATAAATCCATTCTTCACAGGGTAAACTTATCAGGCATGTATATACTCTACTCATCACAAACTTAAACCTATCGACCAGTTATAATCAATCTACAAGACTCATCAATGTCATCAGTATCAAACACAACACCTACTATATCATCTCGCTGGCGATCTCTCAACCAACCTCAACAACACAGAAGTCAATAGTGCTACTCGCATCAGCGATCTCTCAGCATGACATAACCAACACAAAGGTATTAATCCCAGACACCAAAGTGAATAATAACATTAAATCTATCTCTCGAATTTAGACACTATTAGACAATTATCCTAGATAAGAATTTGAGCAGTATATGTCTATAACAATCCAAAATTCTAGCACAGAGCAAAAATCCAGGACAATAATCGACAAAGATTTGTAAAGTAAATTAAATATAACGCCATGCGCGACAACTATACATGAGTTCAAAGTAAACACATATACAAACTCAACAAATAAAGAATACACAAAGAAGAAGAGAAATGAACCATAAATCTCCCAGTTTGTCAGAGCCGATCAAAGAGTAATCCACCCGGATCATCTGTATGCAATCTCCGGGGTTATTTTCTAAGCTAACCCTAAGAAAAAACGGGGGTTGATGAATTTGGAAGCTAAGACTATCCCCAAAACCATAACCATAACAAATGAAATGAAAATATAAACAAAATATGCCCATACACCGTCGCTGGAAAGCACTGCCCAACGTTAGGCTTTATTCCCTTGGCTTAGTCTGTGCCACGCGCGCAACTGACCACAAATATCTAGCGTCGCCCGATGCTCCAAATCATTGCCCGACGATGACCTTTACTCTCGCCCGACGACCAAGACGCGACACAAGACATAAGCATCATGATTTCCTCACTTCTGTATATACAAAAATAACTACAATTTGCACTTATCACCGAGCTAGGCTTTGCCAAACCTGAGCCCGATCTGCTAAAAATTTCAAACCTAAGCTTGCCCTGTGACCTATCATAGAATTTTTTTAGGCCTGAGCATGACTTTTTCGAAAGTCTGATTGACCTATTAGCCTACATAAAAACCTATTTTATTTAAATATTTTCAAATAAACAATTCAACTAATGTTAAAATATACTAATAAATTAAAAAAAATGATTATTTCATATCATATGAATAGTATAACTACTAATTATTTCATTATTCAATAAAGAATATTTTTTATTAGGTTGTTCCATTTATACATTCTATCAAGAATTGTAGTAATAACTTTCATTTTGATCTTTATTACTATCGCATTAGATTCTTTCCACAATCTCTATACTTGCACGTCAAACGATCATGGCTAACTAGACAAGGAAAATTGATTCGCTGCTGTTAAGTTTTTCACGAATTACGCAGTCATTCTGGTTATGGCTGTCCGATTTTGATCAAATAATCTAAAACAGACAAATTTAAATTTTATTAAATAATTTCAAAAATACTTTTCTTAAATCACAGCCACCCGATCATCATCGGACGATTTAAAATGCACAACAGCGTAGCGCTTCTACAGCGTGACTACGATTAAATTCTCTCTTCTCCTATTAAATCAAACCCACGCTAAAAAACGTACCGTTTTGGCGGCTTGAACCCGGTCCAAACAAACCTAAGGTATTGTAGCGGTTCATCCCCATTTTCCAGCCTCGCTTTTTCAAATTTTAGGGTTCTTCCATTTTCGCTGAGCTCGCAGAAGAGTCATGGCGAACGAAGATTTGGCCAGTTGGACCGATCTGCTTCATTCTTCATCGAAGCTTCTCGAACAAGCTGCTCCTTCTGCCCAGTTTCCTCCACTTCAGGTTCTCTCTTCTAATCTTGCTCAGTTTTTCACTGTTCTATGCTTATTGCAACGAAATAGTACGATATAATCCATTTCTAGGTTAAGCGGAAATGAATTTTTGTTCTGAACAATGTGTAGCTTCAATTTGAGTTAAACATTGATGAATATACTCTACTTTCTGTTAGTTGGAATTGTTACTGGTTGATGAAATTGAAATAGCTTTTGATTAATTATACGATTTTAGGATCTGTCATTTTGATTTTACTTTTGTACATTGTTTAGAGGAACTTGGATCAACTCGAAGCATTATCGAAGAAGCTTAAATCCAAGACAGTTAGGGCTGAGGCGCCTTCGCAATCCATTGCTGCGACTAGGTATTCTTTTGTTGTTGTTGTTAATGCGAAGTTCCGATTTTAGTTTTGCCTAAATTGTTCAATCATTTAGAATTTAGAAATTTTGAAAAAAAATCTTAAATTGTTTTTTGGTTGGTTCATAGTTGGATTGCTTTGAGCTGTTTGAGAGTTTTTCTTTTCTCTAATAATGATATTTATTTGTTCTTTCAAATGCTTTTTTGCTTCTCTCAATAAGGGCGTTGCTTTTGTTTTATATATTCTGAATAGATTATGTAGATATCACTGTAACATGCCCTAGTAGATTGCCTTCCATCATTTTCTTAAAGTAGAAGTTCTTGAATTCTCTAAAGCTTTGAGGAAATTAGTGTGATGATTTCTTTTTCATGTACATGTACAGGCTTCTTGCCCGCGAGGGTATAAATGCAGAGCAGCTTGCAAGGGATCTGAAGTCATTTGAGTTGAAGGTACCACTTAAAATAAACTTTGCAATCATTTATACATTGAACACTTTTGGTTTTTCTTGGCTTGTAGTATTCTATTTATTTGTCTCTGTTACTTGTATATTTTATGCATAACATACCGGGTTTCGTTATTTTTAAGCAGCCATTCTTTAAGTTGCAGACTTCTTTGTTTTATTGATATAGCCTATTTGAAAGCAAAAGTAATTTGGTTGGAAGTTCACGTCAAATTACTATCTTAATTGCTTTTGCGGTGCTTCTTTAGATTCATCAACTCATATATTTTGCTAATGCTGTGCCCTTTGTATTTTTTTTTTTTTGTTGTATAAAGACAACTTTTGAGGATGTTTTTCCTGTTGAGGCAACAAGTGTTGAGGAGTATCTGCAGCAGGTAATTTCCACTTCCAAAAGGCTTGTTATCCATCTTGGACTTACTATTAAAAGTTTAGTATCACTTTTGAATAGTTGTTAGACATCAAATTGATTCTATTTGGATAGTTTTTATCAGTGCTAGATATAATATCCACTTGTTTGAAAATTCAATGAGAAATATTTGTATCTTTGGATTCTAATATAATGTTTGGATTCTGAATCTGATGTTTGATTTTTTCAATAAATCACTTGTAAAAGTTAAAGAACTGTCCTTTGTTTATGACAATTATTGTTGTTTTTCATATTTTTATTTCTTTTTTACTTTTCATTGGTTAGTGAGGTATTGTAACAGGTTTCCCCCCTTCCTTTATAAGCATAACAATACTAGTTCAGTTTTTGTATGTGAAGTTCTGTGCCTTGTTATGGGAATCAACTTAGTCTTCTTGCTTTTTATAGAATGTAGTCCTTTTTGAATAGAATTGTGACAATATTGAATACTTTTTTTTCGCTCTCAGGTTCATGAAATGGCAATGGTCTCTGCCGTTCAGGAAGCTCAGAAGGATAATCTTAGGAGTTTCAATGATTATATGATGAAAGTTTTGGAGGTTAGTGTAATCTCGGCTTTCATTTTATGGCAAACTTTTTTTTTTTTTGTACTTTTGGTGTAATTTAGGGTTATTACTGGAGATATCATTTGTAATGGGTTTTACTAAGGTATATTCATAAAATTAATATAATAAGAATTATTTAGAGTAAGTGTTGGAAATAAGAAATTTTTACGGCCTTCCATTTTTTTGCATACCCAATGTGTTCTATCTTTTTCTTGCAGTGCTGAAAATAAGAAATCTTTATGGCTGTTCCTTATGCAGTTATATTTGCTTTTCTTTAATTATTTGATTATAGTCGAATGGCTTAGTTTTCAAAAGGAAATACCAGTCCTCGTAGTTTTGTGGATTTAGGAACAAGATTATGATAAAGAAATTGAAGGGATTTCTTGGATTAGAATAAGATTGTTTTTGTATACTTGTTGATGATGATATATTCTTTTTTGAAGAACCTTCTTTGTATTCCTTGTTTCATCTTTCTATTATTAACTCACCTTTTAGAAAAACCAAAATAATAAATTAATAGAAAACAAAAGATGTAAAATCATAGTTTCTTGTAATGCATGCATCGTGATAGTTTTCCATAATATTGACATTGACAATTAGGTTTGCTGACCTGCTCAAACTTCCCATCGAACAAATCATACCGTCTGGCCGATTGTTTTTCTATAAAACCTGCATAGGTTAGTCTGTGGAACTTCACATATAAAATGAAGTAGGATAGTGAAGTAAGTAAACCATCATGTTTCATATTTGCAACTTTATAATTGAGATGAGTATTTTGTTGCATTACTATGTTGGTCATTGACATAGATTTACTTGTACTTGATATTATGTGGCTCAATCTTCATAGTCCTTATTAGCATTTAATATTTGACAGGAGGATTGGCAAAAAGAGAAGCGTGATTTCCTTCAGAGTTTAAACCGGATTTCAACGTTACCAAGGACAAACATGATTGCTAACAGCAACGTAGGTACCCGCCCAGGTCAGATTGTGTCGATGACTTCTACTCCACAAGTCTCTTCTGGTTGCATGGATATTGTTCCCATGACCAGTAGACCCACCGCGGAGAAAAAGGCTTCTGTCTATGCTGAAGTAGTGAAAAATCTGAATAGAGCAAGGCAGTCAGGGTTGCCATTTAAAGTATGTCCCTACTTTCCCGACATCTTAAACTTAAAATTAGAGTTCTATATTCGATTAAAAACCTAGTAGATGGTGTAGCTAGTTCATGAAAGACTTCAATGATCAACATAGTGGTCGGCAAGCAGCTAATGTATAAGCTTTTAATTCAATACTGTTTTACAACATAATTTTTAGTATAAGCAATGCCATATATTTTTTGAGATCTTTTGCTTTCTTATTTTCCCAAAAGCTCCTACTAGCACTCACCATTATGTATTTAAATGTATACTAATATTCATAATGAATTTTCTATGGTCGTTAGCTTGCCACAGCATTCAAGGGTGCATACGAAAGTTTGGGCATTGATGCTAGTGGTGGAAAATCAGTAAGGATGCGAAAGATATGGCACCTTGTTCAGGTTGTGCTTATTGTTGTATATTGTTAACACGCAAAATTGAAAGAGAAACTTTTGCTTGCAACTTATTGGTTCTACCTGTGGTGAAGTAAACATTTGTATTTATTTTCTAAATTTTGCTAATTGAAACAGATGCTGATGGATGAGGACACAACCTTGCGACATGTTTCAAAAAAGATGTCATTGATTATTGGGGCAAGGCGCCACCTTGAGTGGGGACATGAGAAACACATCATGGATACTATACAAAATCATCCTGCACAAGTAATCTGTTATTCAGAATTTCAAGTGCTTTATTCATAAAAGATAGGGAGCATGCATTGATTTTTGGTTGTTGTATCAACACTTAATTTTCGATTGCATTTTGGTCTAATGACAGGCTTCACTTGGTGGCGGTGTTGGAAATTTGCAAAGAATCCGCGCCTTCCTTCGGGTTCGTCTCATTTTGAAGAATATGCATCTTGTTCAACGTTTTACCATGTATTTAGTTTTTTTTTCTTCACAAATCCCTGATTTTAGTTATTGTTGTGCAGATTCGGCTGAGGGATTACGGGGTACTGGATTTTGATGCTGGTGATGCTCGGCGGCAGCCTCCCGTTGATACCACGTGGCAACAGGTCTTGAATACTTTATCTCCATAAAATTATTAGGGATGAGACTTGAATTTGGATCCGATGGGTGCCTACAAATTACCCACAATCAATGTAGTCAAGCACGAGATCTTAAGTAGGATTGCCGGCCGGGGAAAGATCGTAAAACTAGAATCGTAGTACGGTACATAAGATCCTAACGAAGGGAAAAATTATAACACATATAGACCAAATAACCTATAAGTCACAATATTCAACCAATTTAGATTTTACACTCGGCAATGCTCTTTTTGTTGAATTTTCATAATCAAATGAATATGAGTTATGTGCTCATATCCCAGTATTTATGTGTCTGTTGGGGTTTTGGCATTTTCTTAAATGTGGATGTGGATCTCCCCACTCTTTGCATTCCCTAAAATATAGTTACACTTCATCGTTTCTTATCTTTCATGTTTTTTCGATGGCTTAAGAGAGTTCAGTCCTATATCTAATTTCTATGTTTCTTGAAATCAATATTACTGATGATCTAAGCTTTAACTCTTTTGTGACAGATATATTTTTGTCTGAGGTCTGGTTATTACGACGAAGCAAGAAATGTTGCTCTATCTTCGCGTTCTTCACATCAATTTGCTCCTTTGGTACATAGCGTGGTCACTTCTTGTTCTGTACTAGTTTATTGTGTATTTTTAATAATTTACTGTTTCTGATAGCTCACAGAGTGGATTAATACTGGAGGAATGGTGCCAGAAGAGGTTGCGACTGCGGCATCAGAAGAATGTGAAAGGATGTTGAGAACCGGTGATCGAGTAGGCCGAACTGCATATGATAGGAAAAAGTTGCTGTTGTATGCCATCATATCAGGTTCTCGAAGACATATTGATCGCCTGCTTAGAGATCAACAGACTCTTTTTAGTTCGATAGATGATTTCTTGTGGTTCAAATTGTCGGCTGTGCGGGACTGCCCAAGTGGATCTTCATCCCTTGTTCTAAGTGACAGTGTGATTCCATACACTTTGGATGATTTGCAAAGTTACCTGAATAAATTTGAACCATCGTACTATACAAAAAATGGAAAAGATCCTCTGGTATATCCTTATATCTTGCTTTTAAGCATTCAATTGCTTCCGGCTGTATTATACCTGTCTAAGGAAACAGGAGATGAAGGATATAATATTGATGCTGCCCACCTATCAATTGTGCTAGCTGATCACGGGGTCCTTTCTGAAGGTGCTGGTACTGGGAAAAAGTTGGGGGCGATGGATGCTTATGCAGAAGTAGCCACCATTGTCAGGCAATATGGATCTATGTATTTGCGCCTTGGTGATCTCCAGATGGCACTAGAATATTATGCACAAGCTGCTGCTGCGGTTGGTGGTGGGCAGTTGTCATGGACTGGTAGAGGTAATGTTGATCAGCAAAGGCAGAGAAACTTGATGCTGAAGCAGCTTCTAACTGAGTTGTTGTTAAGGGATGGAGGCATATATCTATTGCTTGGCGCAAGAGGTGCTGGAGAAGAAGGAGAGTTAGGACGTTTTGTGGCGGATCCAAATGCAAGGCAACAGTTTTTGATTGAAGCAGCATGCCAGTGTCAGGAGGCTGGGATGTATGACAAAGTAATTTCTTTCTGCTACTCTTTTATTTCAGAAGAACAATAGATAGGGAAAGAAATAAAACCTTCTCCTGCTTTTACCAAATTACAACATTACCTGGCACACAGGCATTGTCTGTAACACATCTTTAACACATCTTTTATCATTTTCTTCTAAAAATAGTTAAAGATATATCTATTTCTCTCTAAACATCTCCACCCAAAGCCCTCCCTTCCCCCTCCAAACTTCCCAACAAAGCTGTAGACATCCTTTTTCTGGCCAAGCTTATTATTTTTTTTACACATCTAAGAATTTTCCCATTCTCACTTTTTTTTTGTATAGGCTTTGTTCACTCTTATTTATTTTAAAATTTCTCATACCTTTGGATTATATTTCATTATTTTTCACATTTGTGTTTCTCGTATTGTGTCTCGCTACTCTTTAAATTTTTCCTACCTATAAAGTTGTGAACTTGTTTTCTCCTATTTTTTGTTGCCTTCATGTTCCCTTTATTACCCATCATTTGTGAATCACAGTTTTTTCATTTGCTTTTGCTGATGTAGAATTTTTTGGTTCAGTCTATAGAAATTCAGAAGAGAGTGGGTTCCTTCTCAATGGCGCTGGATACCATCAATAAGTGCCTCTCTGAAGCTATTTGTTCTCTTTTCCGTGGAAGGTTAGATGGTGAGAGCCAGACTGCTGGCCTGATCCATACTGGCAATGAGATTTTGGAGACATATACTTACTACCCAGATGTCAGGTGAAATTTCTACCTTTTATTTCCTTGCTCATGCATTTCTATGCTTGGACTTTGCCTTTGCGATAATGATATTCTTCATCATTGCTTAATATATTTCATTAATGAACCTTTTCAAGTTTAGAACTTATTTTGCGGTGATTTGGCCCAAAATATGCTTTGATTCTTGTTTTCATCTTTTCCCGTATTTTCTTTCATGGAATGATCAAGGAGATCAAACTCTGCTTATGTCTAACTTGGAAGTCTATTTTTGCCATATACTTCATGTGGCAATTGGCACAAGGATGACTGATGAGTGATATGGGATATAACAAACAGTGTTAATTCATATTTTTGCCGATTCTGTAGGCGTAGTCTTTGCTAGGCGTTGGTTTTGTTTTGTGCTGTACCAAAAATAGCCAACAGTCTAAATCAATTTGTAACTTTCTTTATAAAATTCTGGAAGTGTTTTCTCTCCAAACTAAATAGCTATGGAAATTGCGGTCATCTATGAAAAATTTGTTTATCAATCTAAAGCATAATCCTTAAGAAGAAAAATGATCAATTGAATTATTTTTGCAGTGTTCAAGAGCGAGAGCATGTTTTTGAGCAGCAAACTGTGTTAAGACAACTTGAGTCAATATTATCAATTCACAAATTGTCAAGACTTGGGAATCACATTGATGCTTTAAGGGAGGTTGCTAAACTTCCATTTTTGCCTCTAGATCCTCGAGGACCTGATACTTCTGTTGATGTGTTTGAAAATTTATCTCCTCATGTCCAAGCTTGTATACCAGACCTCTTGAAGGTTGCTCTGACTTGTCTGGACAATGTGGCAGACTCTGATGGATCGCTTCGTGCCTTGAGGGCTAAGGTAGTATATCCTGTGGATTTCTTTGTTTGGTTGGTACATGTTCACGCTTTAGTTGCTTTTGTTGAATTGCCATGGTTTCATATAATTGTTCTAAAAAAGTCAATAGTACCCTCAGATGATATATCAGCTGGTAATGAACTTCAATCAAGCCACCAGTGGGTTAATTTTAATTTGCTTTGCTATCAAAATATTCATTTATCCATTTCTTGACAGAGGCGGGTGATACGTGGGTTCAGGCATGGTTGATTTTGATAAATTTAGCTGGTTATTCTGTTAATACACTGTTTTAAAAGTATATGTGCTCTTGTTTGTTACACAATGGCTAAATTGTCATTTTGTTGTTGCAGATTTCCAGTTTTATTGCAAATAATGTAAAGAGGAATTGGCCTCGTGATTTGTATGAAAGAGTTGCGCAGAGATTGTAAAAGTAAAATGGCGGGAGTTGTTGCCTTGCAAGGAAACAGAATTTGTCTGAATGAAAAAGGTTCCCAGTAGCGTAAAACTTGTAAAGCAGTGTCAATGTTAAGGATATTTGTGGCGGACCCATGCCCTGGAGATAAAATCAGAGGAACTAGAAATGCGAAACAAGTCTTAGCCTCCAAGTCCTTCTAGATGCTAGCCATGTTCAACCGCGACGCTAGTCGATTCTACATCAATTATCAGTCAATTTTGTATCAGCGCCTTATCCTGTATCAGCAGATTATGATTCAACTGATAGCTAAATACTTTCATACCAGTTGAGTGACCAATACATATCCGACCCTTTTTGTGTGGTTAAAAAGCTATTATGAACTGCATTTTTATGATGAAATTGTAGTGTGCCATGACGCTAGAAGAAGAGAAACACGTTTATTTCTAAGTTTCATACATATATTTTTAGCTCAAGGAAAGAAAGACAAGTACTTAAGGAATGCAACACTAAACTTTTTGATTGCAATAATTGAAGCCATAGCGTCTCCCCTCAGGAATGAAATAGTTGTAGTTGAATATGGCAGGTGGGTAGTTACCATGGTATGCAGTGACAGTCTCTGGCACCCAACCATCTGTTCCAACCCTAGCTACATACAATTTGCAGATTTTGCCAATACAACTTCCCAATACGTCGTATGTAAGCGTCATACACCTCTTCAATATCTCATACTCGGGACTTATCACAGTAATCTGTAATTATATAAATTATGCACATATATTTTCATATTAGTATAAACTAATTGCAAGATATCCTAAAGAGTATAAGTGAATAAGCTGAAAATGTTGTTTATCAACATGTTATAAGATGTTTCTAAAACTCACAAACTCTTATGTCATCAAATAATTTCAAGTAAGTAACTAGTTAATTAAAATTGGCAAAATAGAGTTGTCCGAAAACACCTCTTCACCATTAGCGTCACCAAATAGAAGACCGATCACATCTTCTGAATATATTGGCGAGCTGCAACTTGTTTTTATAGTGATCCTGTAAGGACACATTTCCATTCCCATCAATCTACTCTCGTTAATCTGAAACATGTATATAAAGTACAATACATATGTATATGCTAGCGACTAAATTTTTTGTTGTTGAAACTAAATTAAAAAAAAACTGAATATGTTATTGATTTTTAACAATATTATTGAAAATATAAATTTATTTACTTGTTGGGTAAGATTAAAAGTGGAAGATTGATTCATTTGAGATTGAAGGAGAGTGACCAATGTTGGTGTTGCATCAGAGAAGGCAAACATGATAGAGAATGAAATGATTAAGGTAAAAGCTTTCATGGTTTAGTTGATTAATACTTTGTAACCCTTTTTGTGCCTTAAAAAAAGAGAGAAGGAACACCTAAATTGTTTAAATATTCTACGTTTATATTAATTATATAACATTATAAAGGTCAAAGGAAATATTTAACCACACCGTAAAATGTTAACTTTATATTATTTTCAATATTTTATTCTAATTTAGTGAAATCATATTAAATTATGTGAGTTATGTCTTCCAAAATCTTAATGGCTTCATTCTTGTAATACAAAATTTTATTGACTTCATGGATGAACCAAAGGCCGTGTGAGGAATATAATACAATATCTGATTTTACCTTATACCCCTCATGTCAAAATTGGAAAGGAGAAGCAATCATTTTCATGACATGGAAGTAAATTTAAGAAGAGAATATTTTTTAGGCACCAATATGAATTTTTAAAAATATTTTTAGAAATTGAAAATGTATTTCTGGGACGCACCAACATCTAATTAAAAAGAATCAAAACTGAAAATGTATTTTCGGTTTATAATCAAAAATGTATTTCCGATATTATTCATTATAGAATGCAGAAAAGTAACACTTACACATTACATCAAGATTTCCAAACAAAACATAAAATTACATAAAGTAAGCAATACACATGAGATTTAAACATATATGCGATATTACACTTCAACATCCGTTCTTGTAATCATCACATCAAGTTTGATTTGAATTTTTTCGTCGTAACTGAAAAAGGTTTCTCACATAACCTATAAAACAGTGCTTGTCTGTATCTCTTTGTTGATGAACTCAAACTTTCTGTCGTTGTTAATGAATGGAGAGCGGTACTCAATCTTCAAAATTTTATGATTGTCGCTAAATGGTAAAAGTCCCTGTATTGTGTAATTAAGATCTTCAAGTGGTTCATACATGTTGATCTTAAATTCCTTTGATGGTAGATCCCCGTTAACGAAGCGAATCTTTCCAACATGTCAAATGATATTCATTTTTTGTTTTAGTGTTTAGACACGAGATAACATGAGGGAGAGAGATGAGTTTCTTACATAGTAGTTTGAGGATGTTAAGGATCACCCACATTATATCTGCTGCTGACAGAATGTAAATCGGAAATATATTTTCGGTTTACACCTTAACTTGAAAATAAAAAATGCATTTCTGGCAAAGTCCCTGTTATTAAAAACCAGAAACAGAGAAATAACAGTAAGAGCAGATTGCATGAATATATATATATATATATATATATATATATATATATATATATATATATATATATATATATATATATATATATATATATATATATATATATATTACCAAAATGAGAATATTCCACGTCATAATTTATTAACAAAAAGACATATACATCAAAGTCATATTTAAATTCACCGGTGGTACACCCTTTGACTTTTCCTTGTTTTTTTGCTATTTCAATGTTGTTCAACTTGGTGAACTCTTGCATCCTTTCAATGAACTGGTCCGGCCAAGTCTCATATTGGTCTGTATAATGATTCGCCCACTCCAGTGATGTGGATGGTATAAGACATCCCGATTTCAAATACACTTGAATAAAATACTGGGGATTTGAATCCCACCCAACACAAATGATACGATTAGTGGAATTAGATGTTGCAGCAGTGCGCAATGGGAAAAAAGTTTCAGAGAAACCGTATCTTGTAAGATTAATACACACCCTCTCATACGCACTTGCAATAAGATGACATATCTCAAGGAAACAGATCCATTTGTTCTCCAGTGTAATAGCTTCTATAGATGGTACATGAGCGTTATAGATTTCTTCAAACTTATTCTTATCCTCGTACACCCGTGTGTACAAATCTCTATGGCTCCTCAACTCTTGGATAAGAGTTTGGCGGACAAGTGTGTGATCCTCTTCCCTTTTACCGAGTAAAGCAGAAATAGCTCGAAAACCATAATTGTCGTCACCATTAACATTGATGATTCGATCAATGTGATTGTGCATAAAAATTGGAATTTCCTCAATGAATGGTATTTTTGGTGGAGGCAGTGGAGGCGATGAAGGCAGTGGAGGCGGTGGAGTTGGAGGTTTGCTTATGCAAGCACCTTTGAAGACCTTTTTTTTTGAGATTTCGGTGTTGATGAATTGGGAAAAAGTTTGTCAACGTGTTCAAAATACGATGGACTCCTTATAGTATACTTTTCACTTGTTGTAGGTTTGACCTCTTTTGGTGCTCCTTTTGTTTTAACCGGTTGAGACAGTGGTTTCAAGTCAGTTGTCTTCAGAAATGCTATTTTCCTCAATTGCTCTTTGATGCGGAGTTTTGTGTTGTCATCGCCTTTTCTAAATCTTTCTTGTATCACTTCCCATTCTGTCAAGATTGTGATACTTGACTTTCCATCTTCCATTGTACTGTCGTCTTCAAAACCCAACCTCTTCCAATGACTACATACTTCATCCATTCGTATCGGGCTATCAAGTTTCACCTTCTTAGATATGACACAAGCGCACGGGAGACCATATGTTTTCACAATTGTGAGACCACACTTAGAGGTATCAGAGTCTAAGTCAGAGGCTCATTTGGCTTCATAAAAAATGAAATTAAGAGCTGATCGTGATACGTTACAACCAACTGAGAATAGAGAAGGTTATCTTGAACCTGTGATCCAACACTGTGACACTACGACCAAATGATGTTTGAATTTCATTATGCTGGTTAAGTATCATTTGATTCACGGGCTCCCAACCCGTACACAAATCACCCTTGCTATTTCCCAACCAATTCTTCAAACATGCATGAGCCGACTCAACTCAGTTTGTTGTTGTATTTCCAAAATGCATAACCTGATCTGTCCATGCACAAACAATCTTCTCCTTCACCTGACCCAAAATTGTAGTCTCAATGTTTTTCAATAAATTAGGATATTTATCGCACACCTTTTTGAAATGTATAACAACTTCAACATATAAATCTTTGGTAGATGCATTTATGAAAACATTCCAAGCAGCATTAATTTTCTCCACAATAATTCCCAACTTAACTAGCTTACCCTCTTCAATCTCAATTTGACTTGTCCCTACTGTAGCGGTAGAAATGTTCAAGACTAAGCCATTGGATTGACTAGACTTTGCACAAATCAAAAATAAAAATCGCCATCGCGCTTTATTGTTTCCAAAGGAATGGGAAAAGAGCGAATAACAAAAAAAAGGGAGAAAGATTCAAGGTAAGGGGGTTGGTTATGAAAAGGGAATGTATTAACACCATAAATATCTACGATACTCCGCAGGAACCTCTTTGTAAAATCTGTATATTTTGGCTATAAAAATGTGTTGTACATAAAATTGATGGTGGAGGTAAGAAAAGAAATATATTTTTATGGTTTTTGCACCCGCCGCGGTTGCGAACCTTTAGTGCCTACGTACCACCTTTCGTGTAATAGGGGATCAGGGTACACGTAGTTCCTCTTTTAAAAGATTTGAAACATAAATGTGTTGGTTAATTTTAAGAGATAAGACATCATCGTCATTGTCCGTGTGGAAAACATAATTACTACCCACAATCATGAGAAAGGAGAATTTGCATCATCTCAAAGTGGAGGATATGACTTGGATTTTAAAATCAACAATGCCTCACTCAACACTCAAGTGGAAAATATCTCTCTTCACTACATATTGTAGAAGTATAGTTGTTTGCATCACTACAAGGATTGACAAGAGTCTAATCTTTTAAAAAAAGTTTAAGGGTAAAAACCAAAGTGGCAAAATGGTTTGAAATGAGATTGGTTGACTTTTAATCTTCTCATAAAAATGTCAAAGTATTATTAAATTGATTGAGGTTTATTTATGAAAATGTTTTGAAAATGCCTGGACCTAAGTCCAAGTTTATTATGAAAGTGTTTAAGTTTCAAAACAAGAAGAGTTTTCAAAAGGAGGGAGAAGATTTTTGAAATTAAAGAAGATGGGAGAAGAAGAAGAGACTATCCTAAAGCATAAGGTAAAAGCTAAGGATAAGAAACATCTAACCAACAAGAAGCCAAAACATGACATTATGAGCCAAGATAGAATTCCCATTCTTTGGATTGAAACCAAGCAAGCAAAAATACTAGACCTCTTCAAGTGTATAAAGTCTTCACAAAAATTGGGCAGAGTAACGGCTGTATACGGGTGAATTCCAGATTACAAACAGAGAATGTAATCACAAAAAACCTGCACACAAAACAAACAAGCAACCCAATGTCTTGAGGTAAACCTCAAGAGCTCCAGACAAAATAATCAGATAAATATCACAAAGTCTCCAAGATAGGCCAAGGTATCTATTCCTAAGTCCAGAAAAGTCCACTGCTCCATAATGCCAAGGGTAGTAACCAAATAGTCCAAGTATCATTAAGAGTTTTTTAGGGTTTATGTTGGTTATTAAGTATCTTAGGAAAAGGAAAAAGAAAAGCTCAAGTGAGCAAAGTGAAAATGACAAGAAAACAAGTGAGAAAAGATGAAAATGACATGAAATGTAAATGCTAAAAGTAAATAGTGCATAAAGCATAAAAAATAAAAAGCATAAAAAAATAAAGCAAGTTAATAATTAGTAGTTAGTTGGATGACCATCTTGAAACTTGTATTTGGAACTCATTAGAGGATTGGTAGAACCAAAGCCTCCACACAACAAGTTGCATTTGCTTTTTGTCAAGTATATCATCCATTTGAAATTCTCACAAGTACCATTTAATGATCAACGATATTTAAGTGATCCGCGTTGACCAAAGGTGTTGTAGATCCATTAGAGGATTGGTAGAACCAAAGCCTCCACACAATGAATCTCAAGGTTATTGGATCAAAGAGATCAAATTAACATACTTGGGCTGACAATCATAAGTTTGGGCCACGAATGATCATTTATTCGAATCAGAACAAAATTTAGCGCTATGTTAAGCAATCGTAAGTGGACTTATATAGAAGTCGCACCTATTTTGAGGCCGGTCAATAGAAATCTATGCACCATTTGTTTTGAGATATGATATAGGGATCATGCTCCAACAACA